AGGCCATCTACCACAAGTCTCTCTTTTTAGTCCTCTTTTATCTCAGAGCCATGGGTACTGAAAGTTGTCATATATAAGTTTAAGATGACTATGCTGAGATGACCACAATGTGCACCTCAGGAATTTTTGAATCTTTTATGTATTTTGAAAATGCTGTACTTTCTAGTGACTGCATTAAAAAAGATATTCAAAGCTGGGTACTGTGTTTCTTGCCTGTAATCCCAGCTACTTAGGAGGCTGAGGCAGGACTGAGTTTGAGACCAGACGGGGGCAACATAGTGAGATCCCATCTCAAAAGAAAGCCATCTAGGCTATCATTATTAAGAAACTATATGAGAGTGGCTTTAGGAATGACAAACATGTTAGCATTAAAGATGGAAAGAGTGAATGGCGGGCTGGTGGAGTGGCTCTAGGGATAGAACGCCTGCCTAAAAAGTGTGAGGCCCTGAGTTCAAACCCTAGTACCAACCCCTCCCAAAGAAAGAAGTGAATGGAATTACCTCACTAAATGTGAATGAATCAATTCTTCTAAGTTAGTACATTATTTTATAACTTACGAAGTATTAAATATGTCTGTGTGACTAATTTATTAAATTAAATATAAAGTGACATTTGACTTACTATATCTATACTGTTTTCATAATCAAGCTGACCAAACTCTTGGGGGAAAAATGGAAGGCATCTTCCCCTTGGAAAGTGAAAGACCATCTAACATGGGGTCTTTTTATGTTGGGGTATGTTCTAGAGGGCAGCAGGTATGATGAATTTATGATGTGATCTGATAGATGAAAAAAACATACAAGAAGAAATGAGATGAAGAGTCACTGGGCAAAAGCTAGAGCACAGTTCCACCCGAGCAGAAGGGCTCCCCATCACCCTTGTTGGACTGATGAAAGGAAAGAGCCTTGCTATAGTTTGGATCTAGAATATCCCCCCAAAGACCCAGAATGGACAGAGCAGCTCAAGTGGTAGAGCACCTGCCTAGCAAGCATGGGGCCCTGAGTTCAAACCCCAGTACTGCCAAACACCCATGTTATAGGATAGAGAATTAGTCCATAGCCTAAGTGGCTAAGTGGCTAGTGGGAGGTGGAGCTCCTTTAGGCCATGGGGGCATGTCCTTGAAGGGGACTGTGAGATCTTGGTCTCTGCCTGCCTCAATCTGTCTTTTGGGTTCCAGCTGCCACGAGGGGAGCAGCTTGCTCTGCCACCATGTACCACCTTGCCATAGGCCCAAACATAGCACACTAAAATTTCCAAAACTGTGAACCAAAATGAATTGTTCCTCTTTTTAAACTGATTGTCTCAGATACTTTGTTACAATAACAGGAAGCTGACTAGTTCCTTCTAAGAATTCACCACTTAAAACTCAGATGGCAGCCAGGCATGGTGGCCCAAGCCTATAATCCCAGCACTTGGGAGGCGGAGGCAGGAGGATTGCAGGTTCATGGCCAGCCTGGGCTACATAGTGCAACCCTGTCTCAAAAACAAGAGCCAAACAAACAAGGCAGCATGTGATACCCAGGGTTTGCAGAACAGCTGGCTGTAAATACTAGTACTCAGCATGCACTGAGTGCTTACCAGGCAGCGTGCAAAGTGCTTTCCATTATCACAACTAGTCATTATCCTCATTTTAGAAATGTGAAAACTGAGTAACAGACAAAGTAGCTTACCCAAGTCCCAGTGCCAATGTCCCACAGTGGCCAATGACAGGGCTAAAATTTAAACCTGGCAGCTTATTCCAGACCCTCGTTTTGTGTGCAATGCTAGCGCACACAGAATAATAATAACATAATAATAATAATGTCTATGACACAGCATCAGTCTTTCCTGGGATCCTTTCTACTACCCACAACTCCTCTTTTCCAGTATCAAACATGGGAGATACCCAATAATGATCAATAATGATCTTGCATCCTGAATTCATCAATCAAAAAGAAAAACTGCTTTAAAACTCACCTCATGGTTGAATGCAACAGTGTCGTTTTAGTCATCATTCTTTGCACATGGGTAACTGGTGCCATTTGGATATCTGATGCCAGTTATTACTCCTATTTTGTCAAAATTCTTCCTTTGACTAGCAAAATACCCATTTTGCTTGATTCTTCCCTCTCCTCAGCACTCACTCCTTCTCTTCCATTGCTCCTCTATCTCCTTTGTAAGTGGTGAGCATCCTAGGTATTCTCACCTGTGCTCAAGGCTTTGCTTTCTACCTGTGGGCTCCCAGACTTATATCTCAATTTTCTCTTCTAAATTTCAAAATTGTAGTTCAAGCTCTTCTCTGGAACTAGTGAGCATCTTCAATTGCATCTCAAAGTCAACAGATTCCCACAGAAACTCCCTCCACCCACTGCTCAACCTTCCTCCCAAACCTAATCCTTCTCTTACAGTCTTCATTTCCTGTACTGTCACCACTATCTAACCAGTCACACAAAGCTGAAGACTTGGATACATCTTAGACTCTTCCTTGTTTCTGACAATTTCCCCTTATTTATATACCTAACACGCAACCATTAGATCACCAAATCCTCTACGGTTTACCTTCTAACTGTTTCTGTAACTTGTTTCCACTATCATTATCCCTCACTTGGGTTATTATAATCGCCATTCATTTGGGTCTTTTAGTTCTACTCCACCCTCGAAGCCCTTAAGTGAGTGGCCTTCCTAAAACAATCACACCCATCCCTGCTTACAAACCCTCTGCAATTCTTCTTTGCCTACAGGGAAGCATCCTAACTGCCCAGCAGGGCACATAAGTCCCTTCACAAGCAGGGACTGATCTGCTTCTCGTTCCTATCTAGCCATACCTCCCTAAAGCTATGATCCAGACTACTTGCAGCTGCATGCCATATCCTGCTCATGCAACCATGAGCTCCCAAAGGGGAGTCCTTGTCTTTCTTACTGATCTCTGGGCATCACAGTTCACTACACCTGTGCTCCTGGCTTCAGACATTGTAAGGAAATGTGGTTGTAGACGTTTTAGGTCAGTTTACAATCATCTTTCATCCTTTTAACAACTCAGTAAGGTTGCACAGCACTATTGACTCAGTTCACAGGTGAAGAAGCAAACATCAAGTGGCCTAGCACCCTGAAAAGGTTACTAATAAGGAACTAGTAAGTGAATGAGCCAAAAATTTTAGCCAGGCCAAGCTGCCTCTAAAGCCTGTATTTCAGCTGAGACCAACCCTGAAAGTCTAGCTGATAAAATCTTCACCACAATTTCACCTGCAGGAACAACCAAGAAGCAACATCCCTGCTTCAGGTTCTCACATGTGCACCCACAGAACCCTCAGAGTCCAGTCACTTCGGGACAGAACAGGTATCACATTTTCAGTCCAACTGCCGGTGTATCCCAGCATCCAGGAATGGCCAAGTATGTGTGGCCTCCCCGAACACCAAAATTTTCACTCTCACTGAGCCCCCAAATGAAGTCTTTTGAGGAGGGAGCATAATACCTTCAGCAGTCTGTCACCAAGAAAAAAAAAGGTCTAAAAATGAGCCCGAATGCTACTTCCTACTTCATGTCCAGTTGAGACACTCAGAAACCCATACAACCTTAAGAAGGGAGAGTCCAAGCTGTGGGCTCGCCAGGCTGACTTTATTAGTTAATTGATAGCATCTCACAAATTTATTTTTGTACCTAATGCTAAAGCATATATAAACTCAATTGTAGCCAAGGGGGAAATGGTTTCAATAATAACTATCATATAAAAATGGTTCTTTGTTTCCTTATTACTGTCATAATATGCTGTTTTGTTTTGTTTTTTTAAGGCTCCTGAGAAAAAGCCTAAGAAATCTTGAATTAACAGCTGGCTCCCCTGAAGCTGCCTGTGTGGCCTTGAGCAAATTCACCTCCAATTGCTCACTTTTTAAGTCAAGGGATTTTAAATAGTTGATCCATACATAGTTAGTTTTAGTATTAATAGTCAGAGACTTTTTTTTTTTTTTTTACTTTTAGGATGTTTTCCACTAGGCTTCAAGTATTTATCCTAACCCTAAGGGAACCTGCCCTATGTGGCTATCTTCATGCATGAAAAATTGTATTGTATATATTTAAGGTATACAAGATGTTTTGACATATACATAGAGAGTGAAATTAATGGTTAGTCAAGCAAATTAACATATCCATTATTTCACAGTTACCCCTTCTTGTGACAATCATACATGGTTTTTAAAATGTAGTCAGGGATGATGGAGTGGAAGTTAATTTCAAGGCTATTTTAGAAAAAAATTAAAACGGGCTGTAATCACCGTAGTGTGTGAAAAACGGCTCTCGCCCTTGATTCTACTGCAATTATCATTGAAATGCCATGAGATACAGGAAGCAATACAAATATGAGAGCTCGGGAAAATAACATGGAAAACATCACAGCTAGAACTTGGTGAGGAGAAAAATCCCCTTATGTGTTGTCAGTGTTGTCACAGCTGACACACGCAGATGGCAAACAGTTGCTAGGTTCTCAGTTTTGTTTACGTGAACCTAACTTCTCAGGCAGGACAGCCCAGGGTGTCCTAGATAAGATCAAATGATATATGACATAGGTGCCCTATAATGCACGAATATTGCACGAAAACACCAGGAAAAGTTACATTATCCAAAAATTAGTACTGCTAATACTCTCAAGGCTCATTTTCCTCTCAAAAATGAAACATAAGCTACAGAGATTACTGAAGAAGCTGCTCTTCTGTTCAACCTTTGCGGTGTCTCCAGTTATGGAAACAATCTCATTAATAAACACACACTGATTATTACCTATCAAACAGGGGCCCGCTGATGAAAAAAAAGAAAGAGATGGAGAAGGAACACTTTTACAGCAGTAAGGAAAAGCCTCCTTTGGCCCAACCCTTTGGTTTCACCTATTTCTGAGAGATCCCAGATGGGAAGGGGAGGGGGCTGGAAAGAGGCTCTGGACAAAGTGGGAATCCTGGGAGGTGCGTTCAGCCATCACGGTCTGCAGAGAAAGGCAAGTCCCCAGCCCAGGGCTGTGGTGGAAGCCACTCACCTTCCCTTCCGGAGGTGGCCCGGCCTGCAGGCAGCAGCAGCGCGACGCAGAGGCAGCAGCCGAGCCAGAGCGCAGGCATGGCGGGGCCGGGCGGGCCGGGCCGGGGTCGCCTCTCGCCGGGAGCTCTGCGCGCTGCGCTCTGCCTTCCTTTTCCTCGATCAGGTGGTTTTATCGACTCTGCTACCTGACTCAGTCCTGCCAGGAAGAGATCGGGGCGTGACTCACCTGTGAACAAGGTGGACCCAGCCCTCCGAGGCAGACAAACAGCACACGCGAGCCGGGCGCGCTCCCCCTCGCCTCCAGCAGCGCGCCCCGCACACCTGGCCCAGCCGAGGGCGTGGCGCCCAGGCTGGGCCCCGCGATCCTGCTCCTGGAATGTGCCGACCCCCCCGCCCCGCCCGCAGCCTTCTCTCACGGGGTGGTCCAGGGCAGGATTCAAAAGGCCGAGAGCAGCCAGCCCCTTCCTCAAACCTGGAGGCCCAGCCTCAACTGCACGGACTCAGAAAGAAGGCAGAAATTCTCATCGGCTGTGGCCTAAGACACCAAAAAAACCTGTCAGTCCCAGAGTGCCAACAAGATCCTCCTCACCCTCCCACCCACCGTCAATGTCTCTCTGCAGCACAGAGACCTTACAGCATAATCCGCCTCCCCGCCTCTGCCAACCCTCGTCTTCCCCTCACCATCACCGGGCCGCACCAAAGGTTTCTCTCCTGGGTCTCCCTAATCCCTTAACCTCTGACCCAGCAACCTGTAAGTCACTGGTTGATAAGAATGACTTTGTCTTCCTAACAACTAGTACAGTGTCTGGTTCATAGTTGACTCTCAACAAACTTTTCTGTTCCACTGAAGAAGAAAAAGGTCCCAGGTTCCCATTCCTTTGGCATGGTAGAGTATATGACTCATGCCACTCTCTCTGGTCCCACTGGAAAATTGTGTCGGCCCAGTCCACAGTGCTAGTTGAATGAGTATCTAGAAAATCACAAACCTTGGTATGTCCTACACTGTCCCTTCTCCTAAGGAGGCAAGTGGCAGTAATTCAGACAGGTGGCTGTAGAACAGAAAAGGCTTTGGCTCCTGCTAGAGATTTAAAAGTTAGCAGAACTTACATAAACACAGCATGCCTGAAAGAACCACTCCTTTCCCCATCATGAAGCCTGCAAAGGCCCCCAATAAATACCTGCTCACTGACTAAACAAATGACTGTTCTCTAGATAGTTCTATGGGCACATCAGGTAACAAACAATGCAACCCAGCTTCTGTGTGTAATGGAGACCAGGGTGGCTGACTGGGATAGCTGTAGATGGCTTTGTAAGAACATGGAGCGTGAACTGACTGTTCAGATATGTTCAAGGATCTGCCTTGAATAGAACACAGAGCAGCAGGGGCAGGCCAGGGTACTGCAAACTGCCTGGCACCTACTGTAAAATCTCCAGCCCCCCAAAACGAGGAAGGAAATTCCTAGCAAGGAAATTCCAATTTTTCCCATCCCAGGCTTGATTCCCTTCTCTGCACAGAATTCAAACACATAATATAGTGTTCTATTACACAACTAGTGTCCAACTACTGTTAGCGTTTCAGTTCCTTAACCTGGCATCTAGAATTTCCCTAGTGGGTGCATGGTGGAGCCTGATATCCTGCCCCTAAGTACCCACGCTCCTTGCATGTCCACCTTTCCCAGATGTGCAATGCCCACAGTCAGGCAGGAGCAAGGAATAAAGCCTGGAAGATAGCTTTCATTTTAGCACAGATTGCTAGAGTTTGTCATATCCTCAAAAGTTGAAACAGATATTTTCAACTACCATCATTTTTCTACAGTGATGACAATAATAAATAATAATGCCAACTATCAATTTTCAAAGTAACCTTACGAATCAGGTACACTGTTAATTTCCTCCTATTTCCCAGGCATGGAAATGCTTAGTAACATGCTCAAAGTGGCAAAAACATGATCCAAAACCAGGTAATCTGGCCCCACGGGCTACAAACACTTTGTTATCCAGATGAAATAGAGTCATAAAGAAAGACAAATTTACAATAGTGAATGAACTGAACCTTACAACCAAAGGTTATTTATCAACAGCCAGACAACCTGGCCAGACAGTGGCATGTTGGCATGAAGCCACAGGCCCACGTCACAAAGGACCCTGAGCAGATACTTCTGATTTTCCCAAGATACCAGCTTTGAAAGGACACTGAGAGGTCACCTGGACCACCGGCAGCGAACGGGCAACAGGCTCCTTGGGTCCAGAACAACCAGCCACCTCTTTCATGTAAACACTACAGGCAGGACTTCAAACCTTTTTACAAAACGTAAGCGCCTCTAGGCGGGCGCTCCCCAGTTTTCTCTCTGTTCCCCCTTCTTTGCCTTATTCTGGCCCTAAACGCCCTGTCTCAGGCTTGAGACCCCTGCCCTGGCTTCCCCCTCTGCCTTGTTCAGGGATGGCATCAACTTCCTTTATCAATTTGAGAATTCTTTTCCAATGAATGGCCGGGGCTTTAGTGGGTGCTAAGCAAATGAAAGTCAAGGTTCTAGACTCCCAGGGTCAAATTCTGACTTCACTGTTATTAATGCAGGTGGCTTAGTTTTCTCCGAGCCTCCGTTTCTTAATCTGTAAAATGGGGCTAATAATAAAACACTTACCTAGTAGGATATTTTTCAGAAAATTAAATGAGTTAACGACCTATCTAGGGTTCACAGCAGTGCCAGACCTGTACTATGCACTATACAAGTGTAGCTATAATAATTTTGACTATTGTTCATGCTAGTGTTTTTGTTATAAGTATTATATTGACTAAGCACCAGTTTTTCCTCTCTAAAATTACTACCAAATACCATGTGAGAAAGATGGGAATTTAACTTCAACCCTTCTACTAACTGGCTGTTGCATGATGATTTTTAATTTCTGTGGAACTCTTGGCCTAATTCAGATTTAGGTCTGGACGGCCAATATTTTCTTAGAAGTTGTTAGTTAATTTGTATTTTTGCTATATATCTGGAAATTTCACACCCAGATTTTTCTTTCTTAATATTTCAAAATTTTTTCATTTAAAACTCCATTTAAGAGAAGGAAGGGATCTGGTGGAGTGTTTCAAGTAGTAGATCACAAGCCTAGCAAGTGCGAGGCCCTGAGTTCAAACCCCGAGACAGCCAAAAAAAAAAAAGAAGGTGGGTTGAGGTCTTACATTTCAGATACAATTAACACATGCTCTACAAAAAAGTAACAAACTATTCGATTTTGTGTTTGCTTGTTTGAGACAGGGTCTCACTATGGCTGGCCTCCAACTCAAAATCCTCCTACCTCAGCCTCCTAAGTGTTGGGATTACAGGCATTAACCACCATGCCTGGCTACCTATTTGATTTTCTGTGTGACCTAAATACATGGTTTTTTTTCTTTCAAATCCACACAAAAGTCAACTTGATGCTACTCAGCAATAGAAAGAAAAAACATATATATATATATATATATATATATATGAAAAACAGATGAATCACAAAGCATTGTGGTAAATAAAAATACAAGGCAAGAAAGCAGATCCATGTGCGGGGAAAAAGGAACCCTCTTACACTGTTGGTGGGAATGTAGACTAGTACAACCACTCTGGAAAAAAATTTGGAGGCTACTTAAAAAGCTGGACATCGATCTACCATTTGATCCAGCAATACCACTCTTGGGGATATACCCAAAAGACTGTTACTCCAGAGGCACCTGCACATCCATGTTTATTGCGGCACTATTCACAATAGCCAAGTTATGGAAACAGCCAAGATGCCCCAGCACTGACGAATGGATTAAGAAAATGTGGTATCTATACACAATGGAATTTTATGCAGCCATGAAGAAGAACGAAATGTTATCATTCGCTGGTAAATGGATGGAATTGGAGAACATCATTCTGAGTGAGGTTAGCCTGGCTCAAAAGACCAAAAATCATATGTTCTCCCTCATATGTGGACATTAGATCAAGGGCAAACACAACAAGGGGATTGGACTATGAGCACATGATAAAAGCGAGAGCACACAAGGGAGGGGTGAGGATAGGTAAGACACCTAAAAAACTAGCTAGCATTTGTTGCCCTTAATGCAGAGAAACTAAAGCAGATACCTTAAAGCAACTGAGGCCAATAGGAAAAGGGGACCAGGAACTAGAGAAAAGGTTAGATTAAAAAGAATTAACCTAGAAGGTAACACCCACGCACAGGAAATCAATGTGAGTCAATGCCCTGTATAGCTATCCTTATCTCAACCAGCAAAACCCCTTGTTCCTTCCTATTATTGCTTATACTCTCTCTACAACAAAATTAGAAATAAGGGCAAAATAGTTTCTGCTGGGTGTTGAGGGGGGGAGCGGGAGGGGGTGGAGTGGGTGGTAAGGGAGGGGGTGGGGGCAGGGGGGAGAAATAAACCAAGCCTTGTATGCACATATGAATAATAAAAGAAAAATGAAAAAAAAAAAAAAGAAAGAAAGCAGATCCATGGACTGGAGGATATTCTTTTGGAATGAAAGAAATATCCTGAAATGACTGTGGTCAAAAGTAATTCAGTTGTATGCTTAAAATCAGTAAATTTGATTATGTATAAATTACATCGCAGTAAACTTGTATAAAAAAAGAGAAAAATCTATATGATAATTAAAATGAGACTTCCATCCAAATGTGCAAATGCAAACCCCCACTGGCAACATGGTTGTCCGCATAAGTTGTGACAAGCCACAGCTTGAGTCTAGTTTGGTCCCCAGCAGATGTAAGGTTTGATCTTAGCCTATAGGCAAAGATGCCACCAAGACTTGCAGGAAGGTAATTGCTTCAGGACATGAATTTCAAACCCATCCTGGACTTTGGTTCTCTGAAGTCAGCACCTAGGTTTTTATCTCACCTTCCCCAGAGCTGCCACACACAGCAGAGGGTAACCTCTTGTGGCAGTAGAGATGATGTCCTGTCTAAGCAAAACTGGAAACCTTCTGGAACGTTTCCAAAGGGTGTGGCCCACAAGAGGCCCTGGAAGTCCCCTTTACCCATTGTTGCTTTTGCAGCTCCGTCATCACCCAAGGGACTTTTTTTTTTTTTACAATACTGTGTAAATCATTTTACAGAACTGTCATCTC